GAGGTACCTTTCTACGTTTTTGTTGTGAATCGTGCTAGTTTTGAGACAGAAATGGTCACTAGATATTGTCACAAGCATGCGATAACGAAGCGTTGTTTTGCTTGATAGTTTTATCGCCGAACTTTTTAAAATATCTTTCTTGAGCAAAACGAATCGCCTCTTACTATTTTTTTTCAGAAAAATGATACTTGAAATGTCTTGTTAGCATTGTTTGGAGTGACTCAATGTGCTCTATTCTACCGTACGTTGATAAAGAATGATTTGTTCTATCAATGATTCGAACATATATATATCGTTCGATGAATACTCTCAGCTACTGATTTCGTTCTCTCTGTCGCTCTACTAATGCAAACATCGCAAAGTAAGAAGGAAAGAAATATCGTGATCGATGGATTGTTCGTCTTCATGATGAAGGACTTTTCGCGTTTAGTTATCTGTAATGACGAGAGAATAAGAGAAAAAAAAATCACATAATCAATTATTGAGTGTACGTATGATGAGACGATTGAACAGTAAGTGAAAAATCTTACAAATAATCTTCTTCTATTAGAGATTGTTATTTTCATAGAACAGAAAGACAGTTTTTCTTTTCTCTTCATCGCGTTAAGTATTTTCCTAGGATATATATCATAATGATTTTTTCTACCATGTAAAAATACATAGGTCATATCAAAAGTGGTTGCGAAGCTATATCAATTTCTTACAGAATGCTGGAAGAAATTCTCCTTGTAAATAGACTAATACTAAAAATAAAGCTCTACATTTCTACCTTATTTGATCATTATGCATTAAATATCACAATAATAAAGTTTCCATAAGGTCTGTTTAGCTATGATATGTAAAGATAACATTAGTTCATATTATATTGAATACACGCTCTGCTCTTGATTTTATCCTTGTTTTTGAGGGTAAGGATGAGGCTGAGAATTTCACGAACTCTTTGAATAAATAAACGTATAAAAAGTTTTGATACATGGATTCAACAAATGCCATTGTGTGTAGATAACCGAGGCGACTATTTTGTACATTTAATGAGAGAAAAACTTGTTGAACTTGTTTCTGTATTCCTGTTTTTGTTGTATCGTCACTACTTTTTGTATATTTTGTACGTGCATAGACCGTTGGGCATTAAAAGAGGCAATAAAAAAAAGAATAAAGAAAAGACAGGAGAAAAACAAAGAAAAAATCAAGATGGAGAAAACACATCGAAGACGATATGAATTAATATTATTGTCACACAGCATAGCTAAACAGACCTTATGGACATTTTATTATTATGATATTTAATGAATGATGATCAAATAGTGTAGAAATGTAGAGCTTTGTTTTTAATAACAGCCTATATAAAAAGAGAATTGCTTCCAGCATTCTATAAGAAATTGATATAGCTCCGTAATTACTTTTGGTATGACCTAAGTAGATAGTAGTATCAATCATTGAGGAGAAGACACCTTAGTAATGGAAGAAGAAGAGAAATGCCCATATCGAACCGAGTGATGACGTTCTTTGCACCAGTGGAGAACGGTTTATCACTAACTATTGGAAACATAAGCAATATATTATTCGCACGTCATAGATATACGCATACAGACGCACATATTTATATCCGAATTATTATAAAGCTGTTAACAAAGATAAACTTGGATGTCATTTCCTTTTTGTCCTTTTTGCAATCAAGATTCATGGTATTAGAAGAAATAGAAAAAAGTATAAAGAACTTTAGTTCAGTCCAGTACTTCAATATCAATATCTATTAGTACCTGCAATATTACTCGAATATATACCAGATCCAGACCATTTGGAAGTTGGATTTAGGTTTAGTCAAATAATTGTAGGTTCGGATGTGATACTAGTACTTGAACTCACTAAATTATCTCAGCCTTAGTATAATTCCGTTCCTCTCTCTTAGCCTACATATATATTCAAAACATTTTCTTTTATATACTACGAGCAAAAACATATTTCAATGTTTCAAAGTGTCATGTATCAAAGTCAAATTATTTTGTGAATTCAATTACTCAGCTAATATCAGAGATCCTTCTCGCATTCACTTTTTCGGGATGCTTCTTTGCGCTTTAGGTTTAAGCATAATATTTGCTTCACCGTTATATTCACAATTATATCGAAATGCCTACTTATAGAGAGTATTCATAAATAGAAGACAATTTTCTGATTTCAGCTCTGATCCAAAAAGACCATTAGAGTAAGGATGAAGTTGTTCTAAATAGAGAGGATTACATAAAGTCAGCAACAAACCAGTAGTTCTCTCTCTAATAGGGATTTCTTTTCCTATAAATAATCAACCAATATCGCTGGGATAAATCGAAGAAAAATATACATTAGAAGACCGAATCTCATAGTCGGCTCTTTAAAATTATTTTTTATGCAGTGTAATTTTGTTTTTGAGCCCATTTATGCCTGTTTATATCTAGGCTTGATCACGATAATATTTTGCGTCCATCATGTTAGCATTGTATTCGTTCTGAGTGGAACCATGTATCAGAGAAAACTGATAAACAAATTTTGAAGGATGCTCTGAAAAGTTTTTTTGTTTATTCTTCATAAAAAATGCATTACCACATTTATTGAACATGATTAACAGGAAACGTATCACTTTAAAAGAAGTTTTACTCTGATAGAAACACATTCATTAGAAACTTGTTTCATATAATTGAAATAGGTGTTCTGACAATTTACGTTTTGGCTGAATTCGATCGTGTTCCTGACTCAAAACACTAAATTCCTTTATGATAGAAACATGTGTCAGAGAGTACATGTTCAGACAGATGCTATGATGCGTGCATTGTATGTCTAGGAATCCATTTCTATTCGCAGAAAAAATGCAAAAGTATTTTTCGAGATGTAAAATCAGATTAAAAATATTAGATAGAGTTGATACAGTCACCATTTTCTATTAACTATGTCTTCTCAGACAAGTGTATTTAGTCAAGTAAGCGATGAAATAATTACTGAGTTTATGATACATTTCACTTTATATGAATTTCATCTGTACTGATCAAATATAATATCGATGACAATCAACTGAATTCTCAATGTATACGCTACTACTTCAACATTGAGTACATCGAGAACCTCCTAACGCTCATCCTCACGATCAAAGCAGACTACTGCAAATATTCGATAAACAAGTGAAATAGCATTATTTAACCCTGCATAACACGATATTTGCGGATGAAGAACTATATCAGGTTGCGAGTGGAAGCATCTAACGTTTTCGCCATGATATTTAATGTCTACATTGTATTATTTTCCCCAATCATCACTACAGTAGGTCATTTTCATTTCGCTACTGCAGGGCATGTCTTAGAGATAAAACATTCTCCCACAATGTTTCTATTTCATTAACCATGATCTTCATACTGTCCTCTGATTCTTTCCTCGACGCAGCACTCTTGACTGCTACTGACGAATAAAAACCTATGTGTAACTTTTGATTCGAATAAAATATGAAAAAGACATTGAAAGATGACAAACTATAAGCCTCAAGTTCATGCCCATTAACGACCTATATGATGAAGAGTCCTTCTTTCACTGTGGTTCACACTACTTTAGAGTGTGAGTGTGGGTATGATGTAGACACAAACATCCCACACCCACACCCTTTTCTACTCTCTTTTTGGGGTGACGAGAAATACTATACATCACGTTTTGTAGAGCAACTCAAGATCTATCAAATGACATGTCACTCGATTTGATTGAAAAAAATTAAGAAACAAAATTAAGAGAACATGACGCATCGAGTTTTAGCGCTGTTTAAGGGGAAAATTGGAAGCATCTTAGATAGTATCATCCTAGCGAGCTAGGAGTAGATCTCAGAACCATCATACTGTGGATTACTCTATAGCATAGATAAGCCTAACTTATTATCGGTATCGGATCAATGTTAAAATCCGTTTACTTTCGTGTTTTTGAAATATCTGCTTTTCTCATGCAGCGTGTCTTAAGTTTGACTTATCTCAGAAATGGAAAAATAGAAAATCCGTCTTAAAGGTTCAACTCTTTGTCACACAGGTTCTCTCAACATGCCTAAAATCAAAAGCGTGCCTATTAAGGGTGTGGGTGTCCTTTCAGAAGAGCAACACCCACACCCACACTCTTTTCAAAAAAAGAATGGAACAGTCCTAAAATTGTTCTATTGTGACCAAGAATAATTTTTTATCGTGAAGAAAGCATTTAATTATAGTGTAGAATGTCAAAGAATGCGTTCTTTTGAACACTGAATATATATTTGTCGATTACTAACGCATTTGTCACAGTACAGAACACGTTATTCATAGCCAAGCTTGATTTTTATGTTTTCATAAATGCATTCACTATTGGTTTGTTTTACCTGAATATTTTTTTACTGGGATTAATATATTTACAATATGACTTGATTTTAGTAGCACGGTCATTATCGATTAAGATAAACAGACGAAGCAACGACGAATATGACAAGTGTTATTCATAATAGTATTTTAACAATGTCAGTTTTCAATTGAATTCGACATAAAATCATGCATAAATATGTGAATAACTTTTACCGAGATTCTCAGTAATATTTTACTGTATTTCAGGTCGAAACATATTTGAAACGATATGCAAACACTCTGTAGATAATTATACGAGAACGCTGTAAACAAGCAGGAACACATATTTAGAATCGCTCATTCGGAACGATGAAACACGTGCATCCCAAAGATCATTTACCTTTCGCTCGTCTATTTTGAATACGCTTTTGCTTCGTTCGTCACTATCTGGGTTAATTATCACGATTCAGAGGACACCACTAGTCTATCAATGACTACTGTGATTCAAAAGGATTGGTTCGTTAATAACTATATTGTCATTGAATCTGAAAAAGCAATTTGATATTAATAACTTACAATATAAATAGAATCGTACAGGAAATCTTGGAGGAAAAAAGTTTTTTCAATATTATCTTTTAATTTAAACAAAAATACTATTAATATTTTGATTGATAAATTATTTGTTGGAAAATGATTAAAGATTCAATAAAACTTTTGCAAAAACCTGTGAGCTAATATAAAAATTTTAATTTATTTAACAATGTATTTTGTTTGTATTTTTAGATTATATGGCCTCGTGTTTCGTATAAAAGAGTTTCACGACAAGTATTTGCATGCTAATCGCTTGTAAAATACTCAGAGTTTAAATAAAAGAATAAAAAATATCAGAGGTCGAGTTATAATTGCTTATCCTTACTGTTAAATATGCATGCTTAGTTTGTACCGTACGGTTCATTTGCATCTGCCAAAAATTTCCTTTCAAACAAATTTAAATTGATATTTGAACTTTTAGCACCGTGACCATGAACCACAAAATATTGTCAATGATTCCGGCATTCGTCTTACTATCATTGATGTAGATAAAGAATATAACGTAATTGAATTTTTAGCTCAAGTATGAATAATTTTTAATTTCATAAAAGCAAAATATGTTTAATCTTTTTTTATCTTTTAGATGGATTCACTGCGATTACTTATTGATCAAATCAGAGAACTTACAAAAGAAATTAAAGAAATTCATAAAAGAAAACTCGAACCTCTGGCTGATCCTAGTATAAATATTAAAAACTATGAGAAAAAAAGAATTTCAAAAAATGAATTTTTTTTTGTAGGACTTGGAGAAAAACTTGATCATGAAATTGCTGTTATAAAAAGATTAGCAAGTGATATTGCACCAAAACTAAAAGGTAAGGGATCGAAAATGTTAAATTTGGCTCGATTTTATTTTTAATTTGTTTATTCATGATTTGATAGAATTCTGTGGGATGGTTGTAAATGTGTGATAAAGTTACTTGATCAATAGTAAAAACTCATAAAACTCCCTAGTTTTTATGACCTATAAATTCTTTGAAAGTTTTTTATAGTGTCTTGTTTGTTGAGAAAATTAAACATTTTCTCATTTTTGTTAAAACAATGATCTTGGATTGAGCAATTTTGATTATCATAGCTTAATTAAAAATCAAAACAAATGATATATTCTGAGTCAATATGAAAAACTTCATCGAATTACATATATTTTGACGAATTGAAGTTGATTTTGAATTGAAAAACAATTTTTGTTCATAAACATGTAATTTGAAGACAAACTTGCAAACAAGAGAAATCTCGAAAAATCAAAAATGTAAAATCTGGAATAAAAAAAGAATTCAAATAGTTAAAATTCTGAAAATAAAATTTCCAAGGATGTCCTCTCATTCTATTATCATTTAATTACACCATTCTTCGAACAAGTAAATGATCTTGTCTTATTAACCTTTTTTCTATGGTGTTACTTTATTATCATGTATTTTTAAAATATTCAATTTTCTCAATAATAAAAACAAAAAAAAAATGTTTTTTTAGCCCAAAACCTGATGATTCTAACGATATAAAACATTCGGTCTTATTTTTTCCCAGAAGAATACTAAACCGACATGTTCTTCTTAGACTAAACTATTACAGATAATATTTTATACTTAAGCAATCTTAAATTTAAGTAAATCATAATTTTCTAATCCGTTATTAATGTTAAATTAAAATAGAGAATCTATAAATCATTAAAAACTAGAAGCTTTTATGAGTTTTTACTACTCAAGCAAGTAAACTAGTAATACATTCATAACCATCCTATCGAACTCTATCAAATTATGAATAAATTAATTAATTAAAAGTAAAATCTACTCGAACTTGGCTTTGTCAGTACCTTCTGGAGACAAAAAATAATTATTTCTTTTTTAATTAGTACTGGAACAAGTGCATCAAGGTCAACATGAAAACAAAGGAAGTGCTCAATGGCGTATAGCAGAATTTCAAATATTTAATATAACTAGGGAGTTTCGTGATGCTATGAATCAATATAATCAAGAATGTCTGGATCATCGAGAACGATGTAAAAAAGCTATTTTGTGTGAATTTGAGATGAGTGAGTATTGATTAACTTAACTATTTATCACTGAATAATGCTTCTCTTAAAATTATGTACATACTAGCCTTCTAAATAGACTAAGTCGACATGTTTTTACGATGAGTGTTCATTAACTATAAGCTTTGGTCATTAGGTAGAATGCCATTGATGAACTGTTTTTGGAATAAAAATTGGTTTAAGCTTCTTGAAAATGAAAAGCAAATTTATAAGAAGAAAGGTGTCGGTGAATAGAAACAAATTTGTATCATTTATGTTGAAGAAGTTCTAATAGCGTATACTTTGCTCGGCTATCCAACCACTTTTTGGAAAAGTTTTTTTTTTATCGAATTTGGTATGTTGGTTTGATGAAAGATGGACAGAAAATAACTTTGGCCGAAAAAAACTGTCACTTCTATCTAAAATACTGCAGATTCGTGATATTATGAATGATTATGATCAAGTTTAGTTAGGTTATCGACAAAAATGCAAGAAGAGAATACAGCAACAGCTTGAGATCAGTGAGCTCGTTTTTTGCATTTATTATTTATTATTGTTAAGAAAGATGTTTTGTACTGTTAAGTTTCTTTATTTAATTCATTATTTCTTTTAGCCGGGCGTTTCGTGACTGAAGGAGAAATTGAAGGAATGCTTGAATCTAAAAACCCAGCTGTATGGACACAAGGCGTAAGTTTTACATTTCGTTTTGAAACTTTTTAATTGAAAAAATTTCTTTTTTGTGAAGATTATGGTTGAAACAGCACAAGTTAAACAATCGCTTACTGATATTCAAGCACGACATGGTGATATTATGAAATTAGAAAAAAGTATCAGAGAAATACATGATATGTTTATTGATATGGCTGCAATGGTTCAGACACAAGTAAATATTTGAGCGCTTTTTTATTGCTAAGATACGTTTTGTTTCATGAAAGGGTGAAATGATTGATCGAATTGAATATAATGCTGCACAATCAGAAAACTTTGTCGAAAGTGCATGTATAGATACCAGAAAAGCTGTTAAATTTCAAAGAACAGCTCGACGGGTAAGTCTTAATAGAAAGAAAAAACACCTAAATAGAATGTTGTGTTAATGCATGTTTGTCATCATCTAATATGCTTAGTTTCACACAGAGTTACGTGTACTTGCTTTTGATTAACTGCTCATTGAAAGCTTTTCCTTTTCTCGTTTGACGCAACATATATTCATCTGTATTATTGATAAGTATGCTAATTCATAGAAGTCAACGGTTATTTTTCCATTAAAGGTCTAAATAATTAATCTTGTTTAGAAAAAAATTCTACTTATTCTATGTTTAATTATAACGGTCGTTATTATTCTCTTTATACTTGTTATTTATTTTGTCGTAACGAAAAAGAATTCCTCAAACAATTCTGTAGCAACAATTACAGCTGCACCTATTGGACCAGGATAGATAGATCAAATAAATAAATATATATGTATACGCGTACGCTCTATATACTAACCGGCATGACTGTATATAAATGACCACATATAAATATTATTTTCTATTATCTACAATATTTCTTTTTTTTTCTTTTGAAGAAATTATTTATTATTATTGGGATTATTGCTCTTGTTATCGTTGTCTTGGTGATTATTTTAGCAATCATTTTTGGTCGCAAATAACTTTCGTTCTCAATAGTTTACTTTCACTTTTCATCCTCTCTCTATTACTTAACTCAAATATGTTTATATCTAAAGACTATTGATAAGGCCTGTCTGATGTTTGTTTTGTTTTTTATGTATTCCACATGAAAAAAAATGAGGTCAATTTTTCTGTTTGTTCAGGTTTGCACATTCTTTGTCTTTTCGTCATATTATTTCAATTTTGCTATCATTCATTTTATTATCTGTGTTTGCATGTGATCAAGGATCCTATTCATAAACGACGAAGCATCTTGAATCCAGGTAAGACTCATCATGTTTTCTTCTCATCTATAAAAGTTTGACGGTCAAAGTTTTATTTAACTGTTACTGCAAGCTGGACTGCCGTCAGCTGGACAATATTGGAAGGGTCCGCATCTTTTTCGTCCGACATAATATGACTTTTGAAAAATTACACGATTTTTCAATGGCACATTTCGGTTTTTGTCTAATAATAGCAAAATCTTTAGAACATATCCTTTTGTGTTTTTTATAAAAGCACATACGATTATTTTTAAAAAGATGCTTTTTTCGGAGAAATCCTATCTCATTTAAAACTCATCATGGTAACATTAGATACATTTCACCCAGCCCATTTTTACCTTCCACATTAGTCTGCTGAGTTCAAAAGGAAAATTGATTTCTTGCTATCTGATTTCGAAAGAATTTCCAGGATGGCTTTGATTGTATAGTGATTGCTGGGATTTGGCAATCAACTCACAACTACTTATAATTAGTCATCTGTGTGATTGATTTCTGCGATTGGAAAGTGATTTCTGGGATTTTGCAATGAAAGCAATCCGCTTTTTGCTCTTGACTGACTTGTTCCTTTTCCAAAGAAAGTGGGCATGACTGGCTGAAAGTTGCGAAATTTTCCAATGAACTGTTCACAAAAAAAGGTGCTAGGTAACCAGTGTCCTTAATACATTGCCGCTGAAAGCAGTTAATTTTGCAATATATGCTCTAAATTGAAGTTATTTGACAAAAGGATAGGAGGTTTGAAGATTTTTTAATGGACTAGATCTGTGGTTGTTAGAGTTCCGTGTAACGAATATACTTTCGCATTTCATTAGAATTTTCTCGTTAAAAACAACTTGTTGAACTCCGGGTTGTAGGGAAAAACTAATTGTTTTCGATTATTGGAATGATCCTGCCCGTGTATGTCTAGTTCTGACTGTAAGTCCTCTTTTATCTTCAACCAACCAACAGAATAAACGAATAAAAAAACAGATATGGTTCAAGAGTAGCAATGAAGACATCTCTCTGTTGATTCTCGGATGCAAAAATGGAACAAATAGATATGGATGTGGGTGTGTGTTGGGGGGGGGGGGCTTGTTGGAAAACAGAAGACTCACACCCTCACCACCACCCTCACTGGTACCCACCCAGTCATTCGAGTTTTTCAGGATTTTTCCTACCAAAAAATGGTCTCATCGAAATATAAAACACATATTCGTGACCAGTTCGTCAAACTCTATCAAACCATGTATAAATGAAATAAATGAATGAGAAAAAAAATTTACCGGATTTATGCATTACGTGTACCTTATATTATGCCTTATAGTAGGAAAACAAAAGGTGCAATAACTTTTGAAAGAAGCACTAAGCACTCCAGCCATTTTAGGGTTTTTACTAGGGTATTGTGTAGTATCTATGGACAAAAATTCATTGAAATCTGAGGAGGTCACCTCGGGAGATTTTCTCATTAGTTAGATACACGCTTTCAACAGCAGGTAAGTAAACAAAAAAGAGAACGACTCCATCGCTCGCTTGAATCATCGTGAATATTTCTATCAAGGATTTGCATTTTAAAATTACATCACCGTCTACTGTCACATCATAGGAACAGTGTTTCAATCACCGAAGTGAAGAATCTCGATCTGAATGTTCTACCTTTCACCTACATACCCATATTCATCCAAAACTGTAACAACAAATGAAGGATGTGCATGTGTGTGGACGTGGTTGTGTGAATTAATGTGTGGATGGGGATTTAGGTAGAGGTGTGAGGTCTAGTTGTGGTTTTGGCTATTTGGTGTTGGTAGCGAAACATTGAAAACCATACCCACACACTTACACCTTTATTATTGATTATAAAAAGATAATTGATATTTTTGCAATTCAGGATAAGAACAGTCGAATGCTGTTGAAATAATTATTGTTTTTTTCTTCTCATCTTTTTGTTTTTTTTAATATGATTTCACTTAATTAACGAGCTAATGAGTTATTGTATACCACTCGTTAGAAAATAGAGAATTAAGAACCTGAATTCGATCTCAGGAAAAAAGTTAAAATATGCAGATATATTTTTAGCCCTTTCCGACTCGTTGCATGATGCTAGATAGCGAAACATACAGTGCTGTATATTGGTTGTTTCCTATCATAGGGCTTGCAAAAGCATATTTTTTCAGGTGAGGTTGGGTGTAGGTGTCCGACATATGGATCGCTGTGGAGATTAGTTGTGGCTTTATGCTTTCTCTCAACACGCACTCCCATTCCATCCACACACCACCCACGTCGTACACTCACACCACATCCATCCAGACAGCTGCTGTTGATATTTTGATATTGAAAGAGTTTTTATATTAGACAGTAAAGAAATACATAGGGAAAATGATAAACGTCAACTGTTTTTGAGAGTGAGATCGGTGAGAGGAGCAAAATCAAAACAAACTGAGTAGCCTTCTCACGTCAAACCTCACCCATAACCACATACACATTTTTCTCGCATCGTTTTTCTTTCCTGAATTAATACAAAAATCGAAAATGTACACAAAAATAAATTAAAAGAAAATGAAAGAAAATGGAGCAGTTGAAACTGAATGAAGCCAAAAGATTTAATTTTTCAGTTGCATCAAGAAGAAAGGAAGCTTAGAAATTTAGCAGCTAATGATGCAAATAAAAATAGCTTTTCTGCCTTGGCGTCATAACAACTTTCGCTGGATGTGAGTGTGGGTGCGACGTTGATAAAGAGAAGACTCCCAATGTCAATTACACCCCACACACCCTCACCCCCACCCACATCGACACCCTCCTATTGAAAATACGATATCCATAATTCTGTCGTATTTGTTGTTGAACGTTAGTTAATGAGACGCAACAGCTACGCACAGTGTAGTGCATTCATCCATATATAAACTGCAGTATGTTTGTTTTAGTTATTCATTGTTTGATCTTTGTAATATCATCAACAGTACATAACGGCCTCCATTGCCCTTTTAAGTACTGATCACACGTTTCTTTCATATGAGCGAGAGCATCGGGCCGTACTTGCTTCAAATATTCATAGACATGTTTGTAGTACGCTTCAGTAGTCACCGTGCGATTGACTGCATGTAAAGCAGAATTTCCATAAATTAACAGATGATCATCGTTGTTTCTATCGGATCCAATGCATCCAATGTCAAATGAACGACAGCAGCCGATACGAATATCGGTCGCAACACCACCATTACTACCAATACTAATAGCACCTTTTGTATCTGTATTCAAAATTACCTGATAATGCTTCCTTTGAAATTTCGATGCATACGAAGACATGATATTGAACTGACTATAAAGACTTTTGGAAAACTCGGTGAAAGCATCGTCAAATGATGTGTTCCAGATTCTGGAAATATGATTTCGAACAAATTGAAATGTTTCGTGCCTATACCACATAGGCATTCGGTTCACCCACATAAAATCGATTTCGGAATCGGATTTCAGCGCAACCTGTATCATAATATAGTAAAAGACATTTTTAAGCTTCCAATAAGCCAAGAAGATTAACCCTTCAGTAGTGTGCCACTAACATTATTGCGAGTGTTGGTGAACTGAAGACGCACACCCACACATTCTCATAGAACAAGACTTAGATTCTTCGAGAACATCCTAAAGTTTTCCTACAAATTTCATGGGAAGAAATACGCTTGTGAACATTATAAAGAGCGTAATTTCTTGTTTTTTTTCGCAGATAAAAGTTTTTATGATAGATGCTAAGGATAGTGGATAGTGTTGCATTGATTCCTCACAATCATCATATGATCAGCAAAACAAACATGAACTAATCAAATGATAACTTTAGGAAATAATCAATAACAGTGTTTCTAAGCTTATTGAAATCAATCACGGTATATGTTTATATCTGCTGTAAATATAATGGATATGTATAACAGATCAATTTGCCAGTTAAATGAATGGCTAGAATAATAATAATGCTAAATGAAGAAGAAAGGAGTTAGGCACTACAGAATTTTATTTATTTATTGAGAATTAATAAAGATCTATCATTTATGATGTTATGCTAGTACAGCCATATCCTGTATGTACTGAGGAATCGTATGGAATTTATCGAAGGAGAAAACATGATACTTCAGACTTCACGTACTTTACAATGCTTTGCTACACTTTAACATACTTCACGGTACTTGAAAGTACTTTAACATGTGTTAGCGTAATTTGAGATACTTCGATATACATCACTTTACTCTTGTATCTTCTTATACTAAACTTTCTACTTATGTCGAGCAGCACTAACTCAGTAAAACGTATATCAACTCCAGACATAATACCAAATGTAAAATTCAAAGTCCAAATCGGACCCTTCACAATACGAATTTTACCACTTTAAAGTACAAAAGTATCATGTTTTCCCCGTGAATTTATCTTAACATGTTCAGAGGCTTTTTGAACCCTAGAGAAAGTACTGAGTTCAGGGTACCCATGTACTGAGAAAGCTCTAGCAGGGTGCCCAATATGGATACTTTGAAAATTCTCAGTAATTTT